AAGGAAGGAAGGAAGGAAGGAAGGAAGGAAGGAAGGAAGGAAGGAAGGAGAAGGAAAAGGGAAGGAAAAAGGAAGAAAAGGAAGGAAGGAAGGAAGGAAGGAAGGAAGGAAGGAAGGAAGGAAGGGGAAGGAAGAGGGAAGGAAAAAGGAAGAAAAGGAAGGAAGGAAGGAAGGAAGGAAGGAAGGAAGGAAGGAAGGAAAAGAAGGAAGGAAGGAAGGAAGGAAGGAGATTCTGAGACTTGAGGGAGGGTCTCGGGGAAGTCCTGCCTTAGCACTTGGGCCACCATAGGTGCCCCTATACGAATGATGTGGAGCTTTGCCACGCCCACCATGGCCTCCCAAGGTGAAACACAACTCTGATGCGGCCCTCAATGAAATCGGGTTTGACACCCCTGGAATCGCAGTTGAAGTATTGACGTATGACTGAGAAAAGGCTAAAAAGTGAAGGCATTGTTGTCTTTCGATTATTGGGATGATTGATTCTGTGGGTACCTTCACCTGTCACAGACACCACCCTATGTCCCAAGATGAACAACGACGAGTCACAATTTTGGTTTTGCAAGGCGATGTTGAAGTTCTAGCTTATCCGTTCACTTGGGAATAACAGTAATATTTCTTTCCTCTTTCCGCTTGCTGGCTGACTCTCCGTGGGGATCCCCAGTGTGTCAGATCCTTCCCAAAGGAGTGGTTGGTGTCCTGGGCCCATCCTCAAGTCCTGCTTCCAGCTCCATCATCAGCAATATCTGTGGGGAAAAAGAGGTGAGTGGCATCGATTTTGCTCCCCGCGGAAAATTGCAACTTGTAAATGCTCAAGGGTAAAAACAGGTTTTCTACCTGGAAAATCTCAGGATCGATGTCCTTTTTTTCCACCTAGATGTTCCTAATATCTATCTGTCCATCTGTCCATGTAGCTATAATCCATCTATCTATCCTTCTGTACGTCCATCCATTCTATCCAGCTTGTCCATCCATTAGTTTGAGAGAGAGAGAGAGAGTTGTTCTGAGCCAGGCTTCCTAAACCGTAATCACACACAAACTTATTTTAAAAACAAGACTTATTTTATTGCAACGCTGGGAATTGTTTTCATTCTCAGCCGGAATTAACCTCAAACAGTCCCCCAGTTCTGTGAAGTGCTGCTAAAAACAGAAGTATCAAATGAACTAGAAAAGAAACCAACTGAAGTACAAAAAAAAAAAAAAAACACAACTGAAGTACAAAGAGCTTCAAGGATGACTCTGAACCGATTAAACTACTTTGCTTCCTGCAAAGGTTTCATCATCTTGGCCTTTCATCCCTTATGGGAGGGGCAATCACCTCCCAGCCTTACTCCCGAATCGCCCCTTTTGTCTCAGCTGCTGTCGCCTTCTAGCAGCTTTGTACATATGTGCACTGGGAACAGGCTCCCCTGGTTTCTCTGCCTCGCTGCTGCCAGACTCCAAAGAGTCCAGAATCAGCACCCCACTTCCAGATGGTCCTGGCCCCATCCCTGCATCAGATGCAGGACCCTCGTCCAAGTCCTCTCCACACTCCCTGACTGGTCCCTGTTCTTCCCCATTGCCCAATTCCTCTGCTGTCTGCACCGGCTGCCGGCAAACCACAACAGGAGCATCAAACTTTAAAATTCCCGTGGCCATTTGCAGGCATGATAACCTGACAATTTCACACAATATATACCCAACCAGCTGCTGACAGCCTCAGAATAAATCAATGCAAGTTGAATTGGTAACTGGAGGGCCATTATAGCAGCTTGTGGAGTTCAGAGGGCTCGCTCCCTGCTGCCAGAGGCAATGCCCCCGATGGCCCATCAGTCCGTTCTACTTCCTCTCCTTCCCTCTGCCATCTCTCCGCTACTGTTGCCAACAGTTTCCTGGCTCATGCCGAGCTGGAGAATATTCATCAGTGTCAGATTTCCATCACGAGCCCTTCTTCAGATATTTATCCTGATTAGCACCATCACGTCCCATTGACCCTAACTTTTTTTTTTTTTAAGCTGGCTTCATTTCAAAGTTCTTCTTTTTTTTCCCTCCCCAAACAACTATCAAGTTCCTCTTTGTCCTGGAAAGGTTGTTGTCAGATAGTTTGATTTTGCAATCTCAGTGGCTCCTCGAGAAACGTTGCAGTGGTTTCAAAACAGAAGAATCGGTGCAATCAGGAGAGGAGAGAATCGGGAGAAAAAGGAAAAAAAGGGGGGGAATGGGGAAAAGTCAAGGTCACAGGAAGTTAGAGGAAAACCAAAGAAAGGATCCCAAGCTTAGAAGAAGACAGCACAATGACCTTGTCTGGAATCAGAGGTGGCATTCAGCAGGTTCTGACCAGTTCTGGAGAACCGGTAGTGGAAATTTTGAGTAGTTCAGAGAACCGGCAACCCCCCCGCTCTGACTGGCCCTGCCCCCATCTATTCTCTGCCTCCCATTGAGTCCCAGCTGATTGGCTGGCTCTCCTTTGGTTGCCCTGCACAGGAGAACGGAGCTGGAAAGCAGGTTAGTGGGGTGGGGAGGGAATGGGAATTTTGCAGTATCCTTCCTCTGCCACGCCCTCCAAGCCATGCCCACAGAACCGGTAGTAACAAGTTTTTGAATCCTACCACTATCTGGTATCCATGCCCTTGAGTGAAATTCATAGGTTTGTCTGTGTCTAGGACAAAATCCTCCCAAATGTTTTGTTTTCTTAAAGGACAATTTCCACGGGAGCAGAACGCCGTGTCCTATCAAAGAGTAATACAATGCATTAAGAAATTGGACACCTCTGTAGTCTTTAAGGTGACCCTGTTATTTTGCTTCACAAGGTCGATGTTTGATGCCCATGATACCTGATTTTATGAGTGTATTTTGTGGTACCTCTCCCAGGATGATTTTTTTAATATATATTTTAGGAAACATCAATCACGCTATCTACCATTTCTTTCTTCTCTCTCTCTCTCTCTCTCTCTCCCTCTCTCTCTCTCTCTCTCTGTGTGTGTGTGTGTGTGTGTGTGTGTGTCACCGATAGAACCTGCCTTGTATTCTCCTACAAAAACCTTTGCAGAACCAGAGAGACAATCAGGACAAATAATCTCCAACGAGCAAGGAGGATTTGTCATAAGGTGCAGCAGTCATAGAAGGTGGAGGAATATGAAATAAGAATTGTGCCTGGTCATTCTGTGACTGCAGGGCTGACCCCGAGCGTCTCACGCTTCACGGGTCTTTTGCCTAAGCGGTGGCATGTGGCACAATGTTCAAATTCCATGCAGGAGTGCTGAGCGAAGCCACCAATCTATCCTGAGGGATGCCTTGAGTCCTTTCACTGAAGGTAGTAGGCTGGAGGACAAGGTGTCTCCTGCCTCTGACCTTCCCAAGGTCTGTGGAGTAAAATCAAGGCAGAATGTTCTTTGACTTTGTGATTTCCCAGCAAACTGCTTAGACTAGAGGTGTCCTAACTTGCACATTTGAAGACTTGAGAACTTCAACTTCCAGCATTCTCCAGAAAATTTCCCTATTCCTGCCTTTCACACCAACATTCCTGATCTCTTGTCATTTTCTCACAGCTCTTTCCTGCGAAGAGTTCTATAACCTCATGTCCCAAGATGAATTCAACATTCTTTTAAAAAATAAGTAAATTGCTGCAATGTCCTTTACTGACAGCCTAATGTTGCAGTGCATCGAAAGACTCGCCTTCGCTTCCCCGATTGATTAATGAGCTCTCATTAATATTAATATTATTGGCAATAGAATATTAATGATTTTAAATTAGCTCAACAGATGCACCACGGTGGAAAACTGCTGGCTAAATGTAATTATTTGTGATGAAATTTTTAAAACAGAGTAATTGGGAGAAGTTGGCAAGCAAACCTTCTTGGTCCTACAGGATGATCCTGAATTTTGCATTTTGGATCTGTCACTCACCGTGAGATGGCTGGAAGATGGTCCAGCTGGGAGTTTGACCGGAAAACATTTGGGCCAAATGCTCTGAATGGATTTACAATTTGGAGTTAGATTGATGGTTCAAGTCTGTTTGCTGGCAGGAAAAAATATTATCCGCAAATTCAACTATTTGAGAATGTTTTCTCATAAGCCCGTCACCTCTTTTCACTTCAAACTGACTCAGAGAATCAAAGCAGAGCAATTCAATAGTTCACATCAAAGCATCAATTCAGATGTAATTGTCTAAATACGTTTTGAGTGGTCAGAACTATAATCTCAGTTGAAACAATGATTGGATTTGAACTGAATCTGAGCTGATCAGCACAGCTTTCGCAAAATCCCCTACGGAAATTTTGTACGGCTTTTTTGTTGCCTGTGACAATCAACAAGCTCACAGCAAGTTACGCTCATAGCATTAAAACACACCTGGTATAAAGCAAGGTAAGGGAGGCATAAAAAAAACCAAAAGAATAAAACGTTAAAATAAATATAGCGGGAGCAATCAAGCGAATAATGAAGGCAAAGATTTGGTCCCGTTTAAGGATCAAAAGCCCACTTTAAAGTCATATTTTCTAAGGTCTAGAAAGTGATGAAGGAGCCGACTGAATTTCAGGAGACAAGAATTTTGTAACCTTGGTGTCACCAATGGGAAAACAGTACCTCCATTTTCCTTTGCTCCAAACTATGAGCAGATTCGCTCAGGAGTTTGTAGAGATTCTCAGTTGTCCCAAAGGTGCTTTTTCAGGAGGCAACTGGACTTCCTTGTTTCTTCTTTGAAGACGTTTTAGGATGAACACTCTTTGAATGGCGTGGGAATAAGAATGGATTTCCAGATTTAAAAAAAATGCAGACTACAGGAACCAGGAGCATCACTCAGGTGACTCTGAGGACACAGATAAACCTCCAAGTGGCCTCAATGACCCTCTAAAAGGATGCAAATGACCAGCTGTCTGCAACGAGTGTCAATCCTTCCATTCCCCACCATCCTGTCAGAGCTGAAGAAGCTTCTTGGAGGAGAAGCGAAACATCTTCAAAAGAACAAAGGAAAAAGTCCAGTTACCTTTGGGATTCGCCCAGGAGCTCCCCACCTGGCAGGTCAAAATTAAGATGGACAAGGGGCTCCTTCAGCCCCAAATCATGGATGGCTTTAAAGGTCAAAAAACAGCAGCTTAAATCATCCTTGGAAGCGGATCGGGAAATTAACGCAAGGGCCCAGAGCGGTGGTGTTACATGACTGTATTGGCAAGTACCTGCCAATCGTTTGGCCGTCACACTCTGGACTAATTGGAGCTTCTGTGTGGCCTTTAATGTTTCTGAGATATGACGTCTCATAAAATCTAAGAATGTTGAGCAATTATTCACCCAACCTTTTGCTGGAGGCAGAATCTGCTACAGCATTTCAGACAGATGACTATCCAGCTACAGTTAGGAGAATAGAAGAATTTCATTTTTTAACAGCAGAAAAATATACCTTGCCTTTAGGAAATTGATCGTTTCTTGTCTTGATAGAAGATAATATTTGTAGCTCAGGGTTGAAATGAAGGGTCCTCAGCAGTCTCTGAGCTTGGTTGTTTTCTTGCAGATGTTTCATTACCCAACTATATAACATCATCAGTGCTAGGAGGGAGTCTGACTGAGAATAAACCCATCTCCCTTTTAGCCCTGATGACGTTACCTAGTATGGTAAAGAAATGTCTGCAAGAAAAAAACAACCAAGCTAAGTGACCACCAAGGATCCCACAAATCCCTACTCACAGTCACTCATGTCCTAGTCACTTCCCGTCTTAACCATTGCAATGCAATCTACTTAGAGCTGCCCTTGAAGATCATCCAGAAGCTCCAGTTGGTGCAAAATGCAGCGGCCTGCATGGTTTTGTGCAGACCCCTGGTGTGCACCTGTATCACCTCTCCTGCAGGAGCTGCATCGGCTGCCGTTTTGCTTCTGGGGTGCAATTCAAGGTCATGGCTAGGGACCAGGTGATCTGAGGGACCGTCTCTTGCCGGTCACAAATACCCGGCCCATCAGAGCGAGGAGGCAGGGAATGTTGTGGGTCCCATCCCCGAGGGCCTTCTCCATGGTGGCTCCCTCTCTCTGGAACATCATACCCCCAGAGACTAAAATGGCCGCTACTCTAACACTCTTCCATAAGGCGCTGAAGACCTGGTTCTGCCAGTGGGCCTGGGGAATGCAGAGCAGATTGGAGTCCATTAAATGGCTCAAATGAGGTGCTGTTGCCAGCGTAGGGGGTGATTTTATGAAATATGGTTCTCTCTTTTATAAGTTTTATTGTTTTTATACAAGGTTTTTATATTCTTGTAAGCCTCCCTGAGTCACCATGTGCGAATAGGTGGCCATATAAATTCCCTAAATTTAAAAGCGAAAGACCACTTCCACATCATCACAAAATCTCCACAACCGTTAAAGCCCACAAACTTGAAATTTGGCACGTATGTTCCCCTTGACTTCTAGGTGCTAGGATTTTTCAAAATGACCATCAGAGCATTAGTATTTCCTATATTATTACTATTAACACACTCTGATGCTAAGGAGTTCTACTCCCCACCTGAAAAGAAATCTCTTCCAAATGCAAAACACAAATAGAGGAGAGGAGTGTCAGTTTTAGTTTCACAGCACCAAGCAGCTTTGACTGCCGTTCCACCGCTTTTGGAAAAGGGAGTTAAGCCAGCTGAGGAGGGGGGTTGCGATTCCCCCAGACCCTTGCCAGATCTCCCTTATCTTCAGTTACCTCTACGGGGTAACTATTAGCCCCCAAATCCGGCTGGATCAAGGGCACTCCAGCGGCGAGCACAGCAGAAACCGCGCAGGATCACGGATTCCTGCCGCCGCCGAAGCCTTGCAAACCGGAAGTCCTAGTTCCGTAGCAAAGCACGGGTATCGTAAATAAATAAATAATACATACATTTCTTGTCTGTTCTGAGGAGCAAATAATCGGTTTTATTATCTCTTCCCCTTTCAGGTTCCTCATTTCAAGGTTGCTCCAGAAGAATTCCTGAAGCTTCAGTTCCAGAGATTCACAACTTTGAACCTCCATCCCAGCAACACTGACATCAGCGTCGCCGTTGCTGGGATCTTGAATTTCTTCAACTGCACCACTGCCTGCCTCATCTGTGCCAAAGCTGAATGTAAGAACCGTCATCTAAGCTCCCCACCAGTAAACACTTAACCTTTGGTTTCCTGAGCATTTTGTGTCCGTTGTCGTGAGAATGCACACTGCATCTTCCCCTATGGAAGGCCAAGTGATTGCAGAACAAGGGAGACCAACCCATTGTCCCATTCTGACCGTGGACACGCACAATTTGTGTTCACACAACAAGCCAATTAAAGACCTAGTGGGTTCATTCCCATGGCAAGCTAAGCTAAGCTGTCTTGTTTGTTTTTAATGGACGGGTGTGTTATGTGAACCCAACTATTAACCTTTCAAGTTAGACCACGTTGTTACTGTCTTTTCAAACTTTCTCCAAAGTCTTTTTTTTTTTTACTCTTTATACCATCCCGCTTTCCCCTTGTATAATTCAGTGCATTGCACACAGGAGGCCATAAAAACAGATTAATTCAATTAACAGATTGACAGAGTTGGAAAGGACCTTGTCCAACCCCCCTCCCAAGCAGGAAGACCCTACACCATTTCTGACAAATGGGCAGTCCAGTCTTTTCTTGAAAGCCTGCAGGGATGAAGCTCCCACAACTTCTGAAGGCAACTTCTGTTCCATGGGTTGATTGGTCTCCCTGTCAGAAAATTTCTCCTTATTTCCAGGTTGAATCTCTCCTTGTTCAGTTTCCATCCATTCTTCCTTGTCTGGCCTTCCGGTGCTTTGGAAAATAGCCTGACCCCTTCCTCCTCTCTGTGGCAGCCCCTCAAATATTGGAACACTATCTCCCCTGGTCCTTCTCTTAACTAGACTAGCTATGCCCAAGTATATTATATGAACTCAGATAACCTGTGACTGGTCCAGATGTGGCTAGTGGTTGTGAAACTGGGTTTCTAACTCTTGCTCCTGTCCAGATGTTTTTATTGTAACACTGGGTAGTTACGATTATGTATTTTTGTCCCAGATTTCTCTAATGGAAGTTTTTCCTTTCGAACTCTGCCTTATTTTTCTTTGACCTCCAGTTCATCACTCATCTTGTGGGCTTTGAGAACCATCTAGCTATTTCTTCATTATTAATGGCAGAAAAGAATCAATGACATTTAAGAGGACAATTGGAAGGAAGGCAGCTAATCTCTCCCTTGTTTCATTGACACTGTGTTAAGATTCCTGCTACTCTGTAGCTTTTAACAACAGGAAAAACACAGCCTTGCTTGTTCTTGATCTATATTTCTCTTCATTTGAGAGCCCTCATGGCAGTTCAATATCAATAACATGCTTTTTTGTCCTTTGTCTTAAACAAGGAGTAGTAAAGAACAAATCAGGAAGGCCAAGTCAGCAGAATCTATGGCAAGGGTCTTCAAACTCGGCAAGTTTAAGACTTGTGGATTCCAACTCCCAGAATTCCTGAGCTAACATGACCAGAGAAGGAATCCTGGGAGTTGAAGTCCACAAGTCTTAAAGCTGTCAAGTTTGGGGACACCAAATGTCTATGGAGATTCTCCATCATCCAGGTCATGGTTGTCTAAAAGGTGCTTTTTCAAAAGGCAACTGGACTTTGTGTTTGCTTGAAGGCATTTCATTTCTCATCCAAGAAGCTTCTTCCGTTCTGACTTCAGAACTGTCTGAACACTCAGGACGGAAGAAGCTTCTTGGATGAGAAGCAAAACGTCTTCAAGCAAACACAAAGAAAATCCAGTTGCATTTTGGAAAAGCACTTTTGGGCCAAGCCATCAAGCAATTGGGAAGTGTTTCAACTTTCCCTATGCCTCAACAGCAGCACAACACCACATATATCTGAACCAACTCGTATCCTTGTGTAAACCCAAGACATGGCACACTAGAGTAGTCCAACATACTTGCTGGGGAGTAATACACATGCTTAGTGTTTAATTTTTCTCCGCTTCATTTGTTCTTTCGTTTAACTGGCTAGAACAGCTCAGAAACCAGATTGCTTTTAAAATAGCATGGGCCCCGCCATTAATTGAGTCAGGCTGATTGCTTTTAATCACGTGTGACTGAACGAGCTGGCTGCCAGCTGAGTGCAGCTGGGAAGAGGCCTTAAGCGGTGACATCAAACTACAAGCCTGAATTATGGGCAGCCCCTTGGCGATAGCCCAGTTTATAACAGGACCAGGGGGGGAGAAAGGAACCTTTTCCTTTCATGCCTTATCCCCTTGAAATTCTTTCTCTAATCTCTAATTCTTGAAATTCTTTCTCTAATCTAGATGCATCTCTGTAAAAGGAGCACTGTGAATTTTTTTTCTTTTTCCCTTATGATTTAAATTCTCTTTATCTAACCTGGAGAAGATTGAACGGAGGGAAGACAGTTGAGTTCTTATTTAAAAGCCAGGTGCCAAAGTGCTTTTTTTTTTTTTTTTTGCAAGAAGTTTTGCTTTTCATCTTTTTACTTGAAATCAAACAACTGCCATATTGATTGAGATTATTTAAGAGGAAAAAGCAAAGACTTTTCCACGTGTGTTCATTTTGCTAACTTTCCTAGTCCTTAAGTTCAGCAACTCTTTGGCTATTTTCTGAAGCAACACAATTAGATTCTGGGGATGGCAGTGAGACCAACTGAGTAACCTTTGCAAAAGATCTTGAGGAAGGAAGGTCACTGCATTTCAAGAATCCACCTCCACTTACGGATAATTGGCTGAAGGGCCAATCAGTATTAGGAGAATGTGAGCATAGCCTTGTTAAAACATGGCTAAGTCCAATGTCAACTCATAAAATATTTCCATGGTCTTTTTAGAGTTGCCAACAGAAAGGGAGGAGGAGAGCAGTGTGGCAGCTTGCAAACCGAAACTGCATTCCATAAATGTTTTCAAAGATAGTAACTAGGTGACTGAAGTTTCTGCCACACAAAATCTAACTGGAGAGCATGATTGATGACTCTTGGCTATGGAGGTGTCCCATTGGAGAGTATGAATTATGATACACCCAGGGAGTGGGGGAAAAACCAGGGTCAAGGCTGACAATGAATGATGGATCTCAGAGTTGGCTACACCCAGGCAATGCCGCATCTTTTAACTCCCAATAAATCCTTTTGAAGTTTTGGAAGTTTGCCTTGAGACTCATGATTTAAATGGGGTTAAGTGCTGGAACCCTGACATCCATCTTGCCTGCATTCCATCTTAAATGGTGGTCTCCACCAGATACGTCTAAGAAGCCCACCTTATTCCAAATTTTTCTCCCCTGCTTTTATAATCCGCCTGTTTCTAGTTTGCTCAGACAGTGTATGCCAGTGTATGCCAAGTGTATGCCAGTGTATGCCAAGGGTCTTCAAACTTGGTAAGTTTAAGACTTGTGGACTCCAACTCCCAGAATTCCTGAATTAACAGGACTGGGGGAGGAAGTTGTAAATGCTCCAACACTGGAAGTTTTTAAAAAGATGCTGGATAACCATCTGTCTTAAATGCTGGAGCTGTGATGGCAAACCTTTTCCACGTTGTGTGCCAAAAGCATGCACGCATGCATGTGCTCGCATGCCTACACCCATGATGCAATGTGCACGCATCCTCCTGCACTTGCATTGCACACCTCTGTGTGCATGCGTGTATGAACCCCTCACCGCATGCCTCTGTACATGCACATGCAACCCCCCTGTATGCCGTATGCATCTGCGCATGCCTGCGCATCTCCCACATGTGTATCTCCCCCCACGCATGCATGGCAGATACCTGATAACCAGCTGGGTGGTGGTGGGTGCGCATGCATGTACAGAGGGGTTCTTCAGGGCAATCTCTTGCCTGCTGGCAGAAATGGCTCTGCATGCCACTTCCGGCACGCGTGCCATAGGTTCACCATCACGGTGCTAGAGGGTTTCCTGCCTGAGCAAGGGGCTGGACTAGAAAACCTCCAAGGCCCCTTCCAACTTTGTTATTCTACTCTAACTCTTCATACAGATAATCAGAACGCAATAATTAACGGTGTTGGGAAATGAGCAAGAAATGAACATGGAGGTTCTGGGAGAAATTTCCACTCTTTGGACAGGCAATATTTCCCCATCCCGCTAATACTGTGTATGCAGAGTAGGGTCTCAATTCATTTGGAGTGGGGAGTGGGGGTGGAGAATGGGAATCAAATTGGCAAAGGTCAAAGGGGGACCTTCCAACCTTCCAGTGCTACCAATCACCATAAAAACCGTGGTCTCCACTCCTCCATTTATTACTGCATGCATGGACAGCTCTTAGCCAGCCGGCTGATCCAGCGAGCTGCAAATTGCTGCCAACCAAAATAAGGGCCATCAACAAGGTCAGGAGAGAATCTAAACAGAGGCGATGGAAAAGAAGCAAGTTTCAGTAGCTGGAATTTGAGGTGGTGGGGAGAAGAAGAGAAGCTTTCCTCCCTCTCAAAATTGAGCAGTTTTCATCCGTTTAGGAAGAAAAGTTTGGCCAATTTATCGGGGAAGTCAGAGGGTGGTTTGTTTTTCTCCCATTTTTCAAACATCTGTTTGGCTTTTAAAAGAGAAAATGTGATGACCCAGGGTGTGGCACAACGGCAACACAATCAGACAATCAGTAGGAGTCCCTTTGTTAGCTCCAATGTTGCCCCCAATGTCCTGGTTACCTTCTGAATGGAGAAAAACTCTCCCAGGAACAGCCTTGGGCTGCAGAGAATCAAGTCCAAAACATGGTCAACAAAAACTGTAACTTTAAGTCCAAACAAGGCAAACTGAGGTAATTAGTCTGGCAGGGCGGGAGCAAGAATTCCAGATGTGAAGGAACGGCTGTAATTCAACACGGTTGGGAGGATGCCAGGAACACAGATAAGCAAAGTCAACACAAGATAAACTCACGTTTGTTCCCAGCAGATGCCGCACGCAGCATGCATCTCTTTTAAACTTTCATTCCCAGGTGTGGCTAATGAAGGGAATCAGGGCCCTTTCCTCCCCTGTAAGCCACGCAACCCACATTGCTCTCTTCTCTGTTCCTCCCTGCATACCCTAGGATGAAGAGGGGGTGGGCCTGGGTCTTCCTCTGAACTTTCTCTCCCTTGTTTTACCTCTTTCCTGCTCTGCCCAGCCGGATTTT